GAAGTGTCAAGTCTTAAGTGCTGCAATTTGCGGAACACCAAGTCAGCGCTTAGGTCCACTTCAGAAAGTCCTGTGGAGTTGGAGATGAAACTGTCGTCAATAAAGTTGATGTCAGCCGGTTGAAATGTTTGAGAGTAATGGGCCGCCAGAAGGTTAGCGGCGTCGCCATCGTTGTTGGTCGGGCCGTTAAGACCTAGCAGTTGAGAAACTCCTGTTTTGGCTTGACGAAGAGAGGCTGCATAACGGAATAGGCTTCTAGGGTTAGAGGCGAATTTGTCCATAAGCTTTGTTTGGTACTGAAGCCTGTCTTCTCTTATAGCCTTCATGCATGTGTTCCTGATATGTTTGTATTACCTATACGCTCCATCGTTATGTGTGAGGTTTGCTGAGGTGGTAGGCCCTGTCCTTTACACGTTTTTTTATTGTTGAGACAGTCCACAAGTGGAATGGTCAGCTCCAACTTGCCTTTGTTGTTGGTCCTAACTTCGTATGGCCTATCCGGGTGCATGTGGATTCCAGATGGCAATCGACGTCTATTAGCACGAAATGCTTCCAGAACTGCAGCCGCCATGTGGGAAGATGGGAAGGTTATCTTCATTAGACGGGGTCTAAGATCACCGTCCTTCTTGGCTAGTCTCGTCACATGCTGAGTCAGTATGTGTTTGAGCCTCAAGGACTGTTTGATGAATTTCCATTCCCTGATGTCAGAATTTGATTGAGTAGGGTCTGCATTTTCCGGTATACCTTGGACAATTATGTTTCTTCCGCGGAAAAACTTCTCACGAGATTCTTTAGGGACGTTTCGTATGATACTGCGCTCAGAGTACGGTATGTCGGGCAGTATTCTTACGTTACCATCTGATTTCAGCAAGTGGCTTGCTAGCAAGACGTCCTCTACGTCGGTAGCATCCTTAAGTGTTACTCGGAGAGGCCTCGGGTGATTTAAATGCTTAGAATCCTTTCCTCGAGTGAGCCGGGTGACCGTCAAAGGCTCTATTCTAGGAAGTTCGAGCTTCTTGTTTAATTCGCCCCAGAGCATCCTGTCGTTTTTGTCCTGCAGACTGAGAGGAAGGTCAGGATTGTCAACGAGGTTCGTGATAATGAGAGAATCGTCACGAACTGTTGTTAGTTTGCCAGGTTTCACGATGGGTTCAGGTTTAATAACGTGTTGTTTGGAGGTCAGTGTGCGTTTATATACGTTCGTTTTTATACCAATTAAATAAGGGATTTTCTCTTGAATAATTCAGTGGGAACTGTCATCGTCTCTCGGTGTTTTGGAATTGCACGAACTAAACAGACTGCCCGCAAATCAACCGGAGGTAGGGCACCTCGAAAGCAGCTGGCCACCAAGGCTGCGCGTAAAATTGCCTCAGCTATCGGGGACGTAAAGGAGCCATATAGGTACAGACCTGAGACCGTCGCCCTCCGAGAATACGTCGTTAACAGAAAAGTATCGAACTTCTGGTTCGTAAACTTCCATTCCAGCGTTTGGTTCGAGAAATCGCCCAAGACTTCAAGACCGATCTACGATTCCAGAGCTCAGTCGTGTCTGATCTTCAAGAAGCTAGTAAAGCGTACTTGGTTGATCTGTTTGAATCATTTGAAATAGATAACAGCACAACAGTCAGCGTAAGTCACAAACGAGCGTAGAATCCTCTACTGAGGTAAACAATTTGTACAGGCTAGGACTGTAGAACCAGTCTTTGTTTCAGATTTTTCCGCTACTAGAAAACGGCAAGAAAATTGGATGGAAGCATGGAACAGAATCTTTGGACACATCATAAACCAAAATAATGATGTATACTGAAAACAATCCAAGTGAGATTCACCAGTTCACTAGATGATGTAACATGTTTACAGCACTTTAAAATATGCAACATTTTGTGTTCATTTAGATTATTCATATATACTGTATCATAAAAAACATCATTCCCATAATACTCTTTTAAAATAAGATATATTCATTGGTTTAGTAGCTTTAGATAAATCCCAAATATCAGTAGTCCTGCAAGTCTTTCATATTGATGCCAACCTAATTAGTTCTACTAAACACACCTTAGCTGAAGGCGCTCAGTCACGCATCCGCACCAGATCACTAATGGGATCGCCGTGCTACGCATCCATCGCAACTACCAGTCAGCTAAGATCAAATGCCCCTCAACATACCTACAACTATCCAAGCATATCTTTAAACCCATACATTCCTTCTGCTTTGATCGGGTCAGTTTCCTTCAATAATATTGATGTCACAGTCAAAAGAGTTGTCAAATTCCGAGTATCTGTGATATCTTTACCGGATTTGCCAAGGGAGTTATGGCTCTCTGCAAGGCTGTAAAGTTTCTATCACTGTTTCATATCTAAATGTGCTACTTTTATCGCGTCACTTTGTAAACGTTTTACTCGAGGAAATGTGTTCTGTAAACCAGTCATTCTAGCCTTATCAGGTATCTTATGACCCTCTCATTTTCCTTTTCTGTTTTGAGGCCTTGCTAATGATATTAATGTTTGGTTTACTTTTATGCATTAGTCATTTATGCTCTTATTGGTTATCTACGATCTACGCATTATTCATATATATATATATATATATATAGCATTCACTGAGTTGGATATTCCTACTATTCCAGTGGATAGCCGTTTCTCTTTTTCTTCCACTGACAAACTGGATGTACGAAGTATATCCTTTCAAAACACTTCCGTATCCGATGTTTGATATACCATTAATCAAAATGTGTTAAGCAGACATAATTTATGAGGAGTTGTATGAGATCCATATTTCAGTAACATTCTTATCATTTTAACATCCTCGTGTCATCCACGGTTACTACATGGCTGTATTAGGATCAATAAATGGGTGCTTGCTAATTTTTTTGCCACTGCTTTTAACTTCAGTCCATTGTCCATTTGTTTTATATTTAATTTGTCACAACCTTGGATCAAAAGTCGAAGTTAACACATGAATGCATGACAAATAGAGATATGATTGGAGAGACTAAATTTCCCAAGGGTCTCTAAAAGCTACTGCAAGCTCATGATTCTCACGCTCGTATCAGAAAATCTGTCATATCCTTGTTGTGAAACTGGAAAGACTATAGTTACCAAGCTGAAATACACAGGACTCGATCAGAACAACTATAGCGAAAACCAATCTATTACCTCATGGAACTTGATTGACAGAAAATAACGGCGACACCCTGAGATAATGAGAGACAACAAATAGTTTGGTGGAAAAAACAGAGATTCACTTATAAACACTTCTTACCACATTTTATAAAAGATAATGAAGATGTCACATTTACAGTGCTCAACAATGCTACTATCGTAAACCTCATCATATATAACGATACCAGAGCCGATTAAACTAGATGCCGAGAATGATGTGATGTGTAGATGAACTTGAAAAACACCGGAATTCCGTATTTTCAGAAATTTTAGCTGGTCAGTTTTCATAAGACGTGTACCCAAACGTAGTTTCGTATGGATGTTTGACCGATTTCCTAAAGCTTGGAATGTGTCCGACAAGACTAATAAGGTCAGCACCATTGTCGAAAACTTATAAGAAGATGTAATTTCGATATCTATTTGTCACTAGGGTTGTTTATGTGTTTTCGGAATACCCTCCGCTTTGTCGATTTTTACAATCGAGTGAATTAGGAGTTAATGGTATTCCTGAAGAAAACGGGTTCATTGACTCTTATTTCTCAAAGTAATACCATGTTTCAAAATCTTCTTGAATCCCTTGTCAAGATGTATCTCGATGAAACAGAATCTGGTCAAACTGACAACAAAAGCTTTCATACGCTGTACAGAAAGATAAATGAAGAAAAGAAGACGGTATGACTTCTCAAAATCTTTGACAGGGTCAACCATATATGTCTTATCAGTAGGCTCAAACGATTAGGTACCAAATCACCTCTAATTGATTGGCTCAATTCATAATTGAAAAATCGACATTTTAAGGTCGGGGTTAACTTCGCTTTATCTCAGACTATGAAATGTCCTAGTGGGGTTCCCTAGGGTCCAGTACTAGGATCTCTTCTTCTCTTGATTTATATACATGATCTTCCATAACAAGTATCGTTTGACCTATTACTTTTTGCTGATGATGTGAAACTCTGTGGAGAGATACGCAACCGAGAGAATATACTGACACTTCAGGAGGTATGACAACGTACTTATCCTTAACACTTTAAAGTGTAGAGTAATCCACCTGATACATGTTGCAGACTACAGTAACAACTTAGACAACTCCCCTCTAGAAATATTTAAAGTTGAAAAAGATTTAGGAGTGCTGGTACCCTATGATCTGAAGTTTTACGCAAACTGACAAAAATACCTTTCAAGCAAACCTTGCACTGGTAACATTGAGGCGCATTTTTGGCCAGTTTGACGGAAGAACTTTCCACATAATCTTCAACAGTTTTATTCGTCCCCATTTAGAGTACGGAAACGTAGTATTGCCTGCCTCACTCCAAAAGAATAAGGACACTCTGGAGCGTATCCAACGGCGAGCTACGAAATCAGTTCCGAGACTCAAATTCAAGCCTTATGAAGAGCGCCTCCATTCACTAGACCTTTACCCACTAGAATATAGGCGTCTTAGAGGTGATTTACTAATGGCTTATAGTATTCTTAACACTTCTGGACATCCTCTTAAACACCTACATAAGCTTAGTTCGAATAATAACCTAAGGGGTAACACCCAGAAACTGGAGACACAACATAGCAAGACGGAATGTAGACAAAACTTCTACTGCTTAAGAGTTGTCAAAAGCTGGAATTCGCTGCCGGCCGAGCTAGTCCAAGCGACTTCTCAGGAGTCCTTCAAGAGGCAACTTGACCTATTCTTAAGGACCAAGGACAGCATCACACTATGATTTACCAATTTCTTCTCTTGTTTTATTGTTACCATACCTAGGTTCTTGCCTGGAGTATTTGATGATCCCCTGCTACTAGACACGGAAGCCTGTTAAGCGAAAGCTTCTTCTATTCCGTCCACGACCATTTGAACCTTTTGGCGGGAAGAGTGGGCTTACATCAACTACGGTTCTCATAGTTTCTTCTCAGCTGGGAACTGAGTGTAATTTCATGAGTCGGCTCCTTTTGCTTTTAAATTTGTATTTAACGGGTTAAAAATAATCTAGTCAGCTTACACTTACAAAGATTGTTCCAACCACTCAGATTCTTGACACGATAACTTGTGATCTACTTTTATAGGTTAATAAACCTATCATTATTACCCAGGACTAAAGATTTCAAGATTATTGCCGTATATGTGATGGCTAGTGCGTCAATTAGTTTGGTTTTAGTTTTCATATGCATTTCTGCCACGTAGTGCTTTGTAAGATTGGATGTACATCCTATTGTGTGGTGGGATACTTAGTAGTGTTTCGTGATATATGTAGTCATCTGTAAAAACTTGTTGACCCAGTATTATTTTGGCTTGTCTCTTTGTATTCGACAAGTAAATAGGGAGTGTAATAACATTGGTTACGTGTATATCCAAATCAATGTGCTTCATAGAACCCTTATTACATTCAGGTTTTTGCTGGATATGCTTTATATTGATCTAGGTGGTCCTTTGAGAGCCACTTTGGTTCAGCACGGTTGTAGAGATTTATCGGCGAAGGGATTCCATCAATTTTAGTAGGATATCACGGTTTGTGCGATTCTCTTCACTCATCTGGTATAACTGCACCCCTTTGTCTTGTCTAATTAGTGGTCAATACAAACTTTTATCATGTTCTGGATTTCATCTTTGTGAGTTATTATTATCAGAATTACTCTTTGCATCCCTTGTAGGTTTTCTCTCACTTCCAGTCTATCTTCAGACCAGCAATACGCTATCTTCAATCTGTTAGCATACTCAGAGCTTGCAAACAGCATATATTTTATCGTAATATGGACTTCTATATCAATGTACCTCCTCCCGTGCATTTTCTTGATGTTACTGAAGCGTTCAAATCACTTAGCAATGTGGAAAAGGATTATGTTTTCAGTTGCACACAAGCGTCTTGGATTGGAGGTCTCATAGGATTAATTCAAACATCTCCTGAGTCTGCCGGAATATTTTTGTTTGTCAGTCGCTTTTTCCATTTGGAGAACGTACATTCCTTTGTTGAAAAAGCTACAAAAAATAGTTTTTCCGATGAGGAAATAACCCACATTTTATCTTATTTCGCCTCAGTGCTGGGTAATTTCGGGAATTACCTGTCTTTTGGGGACACCAAGTTCATCCCAGCTATCAATGTCGACAGGGTAACAGAATTTTTATCGTTGAGCAGTGAATTTTCTAATTCAGAAACTGGTCTTAAAGCTTTATGGAAAGAAATAGCTCCAGCCATCTATTCGTTAAGTCCTCGCCGTTTACGCCTTGGTTTTAGTCCCACTGAAATAACGTCTTATTACTCTGAAGACTGTATTCGAAGTGATGCTGAACTAGTTCAAAAATATCTGGAAAACGTTAAAATTGAAGCGTATAATACCCGACTTTTTAAGAGTAGTAACTCCAACTCCAAAGTTTATTCGATTCGGTTTGCGTCGGCTGAGAAGAAAGTTCAACCTGTGCATTTTGATGCCCTTCCTTCGGGAACTTCTTTGCAGCTCGAGTACGGTGACTACTGCGAACTTATGGAGTTACTGGTTGACTGCTCTTTAGACGCCAAAGCACACTCTCTTAACAAAATCGAATCAGAAATGTGGGATCATTATGCTCAGAGCTTTTATACTGGGTCCTTAGACTCTCACAAAGATGCTTCTAGACTATGGGTCAAGGACAAATGCCCTGTGGTTGAAAATTACATTGGCTTTATTGAAACTTATCGTGATCCTTTAGGTGTACGTGCAGAGTTCGAGTCATTTGTCGCAGTTGTGAATCGATCAATGTCATCTAAATTTCAGCGGCTAGTAGATAATGCTGTTGACTTGTTATCTAATTTGCCATGGCCTTCTACTTACGAAAAAGACAGGTTCTTACAACCAGACTTTACAAGTTTGGACGTAGTAACGTTTGCAACCTCAGGAATCCCTGTTGGAATTAACATTCCTAACTATGATGATGTGCGCCAAGTTGATGGATTTAAAAATGTATCCTTGGGGAATGTACTCAGTGCTCGCTTCAAGGTAAAGTCTGTTTGTATAACCTATTTTTCGTATTAGGACCCTAAATCAGAATTTCTCCGAGAGGAAGACAAAAAGTTGTATGTGGATCATGCGGAGAGTTCTTTCGAACTTCAAGTTGGACTTCATGAATTGTTAGGCCATGGTTCTGGGAAGCTCTTTCAACGTAGTGGCGATGGAATATTGAATTTTGACACAAATTCTACGAAAGATATCATAAGTGGAGGTCCCATACGTAGTTGGTATGTCGGTTACTTTCACTTTCCTATGGTTACTATTATTGCTACCTTCCCTGTTTTCTTATATATACCAAGTAACAAGTGGTATATAATTCTAGCCGTTAGTGCAAACTTAGATCTATCCGCTCGAGATATTTGCTATAGATATCCAATTAACTAGTGTCAAAAAATTGTAAATGTGAGCATATGCAGGTAGTTATGACAATTTAAGATGACAAGAACGTACTTCTGTCTAAGTTGCTGCGATTCACATCAGTGACAAGAAATCAACGAAATAGTAATATCAACGTTAGTGGAAAACTAAACTGTGAATATGGTACAAAAATGACAAAGTGGCAAATTAGTAATGTTATGTTACGACTTTTAGCTTTTCCTTAATCGGCTTGTATTTTCATCGTAATATAGGTAGATGGAGATAAGCATATTCTGAAGTATGGACAATAAGGAAGTGTCATCCACTTGTATGTCTATTCGCACTCGAACTCACAAAACTTTTGTTCCCTTTTTATTTTTATCGTTAACACCAGTCAGTCGCGGCGTAGAGCCCCCAAATGCCCTGGTACGGCTGATGGTGGGGAGGGTTCGCTTTCCCTCTCGAAATGCTCTCACATGGCCGCGCTCATACAGCTACTGCCGGGGAAGTCCTACTCACTGCCTTCTCGCGGCACTAGTGTTGTTTATGAAGTTGAGAGGACGGAAAACGAATGTCCCGCGCTTTAACTGGGCCGGTGGATATGGAGGGTTCACCTTGGGGATTTGAAAAATCCTGGTGCATATGGGCTCCAGGATTCTAAGAGAACAAAGGGCGTATAAACCAATTGTTGATCAGCGGCTACCACGTGACTGCTTCTCCTGACGTTGCCCCACTGCCTTGTGGATCAGACCTTTAGGTTGAAGGCTCTGTGTTTGACCTCCTAACAAAACCACCTTCGATCTGGGCACCCGGGCAGTATAACATCCCACGCACAAATCATGTGATTTGTACGGCACATGTATTTGGTCCACCTTTGTACCAATATTTATGTTCATATAAATAAAATAAGAACCTGATACATAAGTACACTGGTTCAAGTTGTCACGCTTCAGCACAGCCAGATGAAATTGTTATGTCAAATTCCAGATTAGTAGAGGTAGTAACTGTATTAGTGGTATTAGAAAATATTAAGCATCGAAAATACGACTCAAAATAATGTAAATTAGTGAAATAAATAAAACTTGTGCGGAATTCAGAAGCTAAGAATTTGGGGAAAGATATTGTACGGATGCATCTGCGCTATTGGAAACGACGTCTAGCCATTTTATTCGGTCTCTAACCAACGGTTACGATTACTACGTGGACCCCGATCGTGTATTGTACACCCACTAATTTGGCTCAGTCCGATAATCAATTATTATGGACTGATGCCGTGTTTTTCTTTGACCGCTCCTTTGTTTTCTTTCAGCCTACTTCACCGGATAACATTTCCCGTCGAGTTAGGCCGTAATTGGAGATACGTGAAACATGTCACAAGCACCTCAGTTGATGCAGATATATTGCCTCATTAGTCAACCTATCATTTTTACCTAGTGCACTTGGTCATTACAAGGCCAGAACACAGGATTTTGTGTTTATGTGCGCGCAACCATAATCTAGGGACTTGACTTCCATTCATTGCATCCACGTTTGTCCATTTTGATCTCAGCAGCTGAGTAGTATCACCAAACCTCGGTGCAACAGGTAAATCTGTGAGGTCGTTAAGGCACTAATATTATATCGGTCGTTGATTGTGGGAAACAACCACCGACTTCTTGGTTAGACCTGCCACTAATGGAAATGGGAATAATCTCATGGATCGATTTTGCAGCGTATACGCTTAAATGCTTCCTTCTGATAACTCATACGGCTCAGTTCGTTTAAACTAAAATAGGAAAGCCTCTATCTGCTTATGAGGGCAGCGTTAGTCAATTGCTGGCTTATTATTAAGATAATAGAATAAGTAGATAACTCAAATGCATTCGAGTAACCGATTCGCGTCAAATTAGTGTCCTTATCGGTCGTTCCCAATGTACATTCTTTGTTACTTCATTTTTGACTTATTGAAAGTTTTCAATGGATTGTAGCGTAAACACATTCTCTGTCGTTTTAGTTTCCGTCGTGATCTACTCAGAACAAATACATTGCAGTATCTGTGGATTATTCCTAACTTTTGCCGTAACTGTAAAGTTAACGCTCACAAGATTATGTGTGGGAGTATACACAGTAAAAAAAACCAGTATTCTGAATGGTTTGATTTACGATTATAGGTGAAACTAATTAGTAGATCTTGTTATACGTAGTCAAGATACAGGATTCGATCTCGACAGATTCCTATAGAAGGAATATTATGTACTGACTGTCTTTTTACATTTAAACTAACAGTTTAAGTAGGGGTCTTTACTTTCAATTTGGAATTTGTTACGAACTAATTATAATTGGTATTTATGATCACCCAATGTTAGCACTATTCAGGTCGATATTAATGTCATATTTTCATATGTATCTGTTCGGAGAGCGAGCCTGATTATTAGTGAATATGTGTCATCCTTGTGAAAGTGAAGGAAATTACGTGCTGATCATAAAATAGTGTGATTATAGCAATTTTTCTTGACTTATAACTTCGTATTGGGTACGAACAGTCAATCATATACATTTTTTTTTGGTAAAATTCCTGACGATGACTTTCATCAATGGTATTTTCTTTAACTCTTAAGGTATGAACCGGGCGAAACATACGACAGCAAATTTTCAAGTTTGTCTTCGGCAATTGAAGAATGTCGAGCTGAATGTGTTGGAGTTTATCTATGCAATTTACCACTTGTCTTGGAACAGTTTAATCTTAATACTAATTGCTCTACAGACAGTGTCCCAGATGTTGTCTACGTTAATTGGTTGTCCATGGTTCGTTCAGGCGTAACTTCTATGGAATTCTATTCACCTGCAGAAAACGCTGGCGATATTGGTTCGTGGCGTCAGGCACATTGCTGTGCTCGTTATGTGATTTTGCGGGTAAGTGTTTTCAGAAAGTTTTGCAAGTTACACTGAACTTGCACTTCGTGAAACTTCCTGTTTAGTAAAATACGCCACCACCTTTCTGTTTTTTTTGAGCTTGTATTTTCGTTGGTTGGTCTAGATGTAAGCTCAAATAAAACACTTAATACATTTTCCCTCTAGTCATTATGCTGTAAAATGATTAATAATGAGAGAATACTATGCTTTCTGTGAGTTAAATCTCTCAACTCAATTTTTATCATGATGGTTATTCAACTAGGTGTATCTTTTTATAACCCATAGTACTTCCTGCTTTCTGTCTTCGTATTATTGACATTCTTCTAAGTTATACTAGCTGAACAAAACTCCATTTTCTGTAAAATTACGTTTATCTTCTTTTTCTTAAGCTTATAATGCAATATAGTTTTGTTACGTTAATGTTTTTATCAATATCATTACTTTTATCGCGTCATATGTGTGAATTTAAGCAAATAATTGATTGATTCGTGAATTCTTATCAGAGGAAGCATTTTAGCATCCGATTACTTGTGCCGATCTTTGAAAATCGTAGTGTCTGGTGGTGTGGGTAGCTAGCATCTCTATAATTTCTCTCATTTCTTCATTATCACTAAATGTTACGTATATTACTCCTGACTGTTATGTCAATTTTAGATATACTGTTTATTCTTCACTAGGTTTTAATTGAAGCTGACAATTCGCTGGTACGTGTAGACGAAATAGTTGGTGATGATGGTGCACCTGATTTAACTATTTTCTTAGATCGCCAAAAGCTTTTGACAGTGGGTCGTCCGGCAATTGGCGAATTTTTACGAAAAATTCAGGTGAGACCTTTTCATTTCATGTTTTTATGGATTCTTATGAGTAGACATGTATTGTGCATGTGCATATACTGGTACATTACTACTGTGCCATTCTGGAGACTTCAAGAGTTGATACAAATAAGATTAATGAATTATATGTCGTGGCATGACATCAATTTATAATACCACTGACTTTTGGTCCAAGGTTTCTAAGAAAGCTTCTTGAATGCAATTATTGTTATTCATTGTCAAATTTTATTATTATTTTAACACATAGATATTGGTACAAGGAGGCACCAAATACATATGCACCACACAAATCTCATTCGACATGTGTGAGGGTTGTGATACTGCCCGGGTGCCCAAACCGAAGCCGGCAGTTTTTTTAGAGGGCCACTCCCCGAGCCTTCGACCTGAAGGTCTGATCCACAAGGCAGTGGAGCATCGTGAGGAGATGCAGTCCCATGGTAGCCGGTGACCAACGATTGGTTCATACACCATTTCGTCCTTCAGGATACTGGAGCCCATGTGCACCATTGGTTCGGGATCCGGTTGAAGCGCCGGACATTCGGTTTTCGTCCTCTCATTTTCGTAAACAACACCCCCGCCACGAGAAGGCAATGAGTAAGACTTCCCTGGCAGAGGCTATATACGCGCAGCCGTGTGAGAGTATTTCGAGAGGGAGAGCGGACTCTCCCCACTCTCGGCCGTACCAGGGCATTTAGGGGCCTAGTAGTATTGCACCTCACTAATCCATCATCTAGGCACGTTTCTCACAACAATACAAACCACTAACTGTGCAGCCATTTAGTGAACAATTCACTCCAGTGCCAATTATTTACCTGGATTTCAGAATTAGACCACTCTAATATTGCAAGTGTTATGACTTAAGATAAGTCAAAGTGGCCCAAATGCAATCATCTCTGGTTTCTAAAATCCTAAATTGTTTATTACTTCATATATTCCACTCATCCTTCAAGCCTCTTCTTTCGTTCTCGACAAGTGTTATCATTGTTTTATTTATCAGTGTTTGATTTTCTTGGTTTTCTGATTATGCTGATAAAATGTATGGCAACGTGGATGAGTGCATTCATGCTAGATGCTACTCTATATATGGTTGCTTTCATATGTTGACTTTGAAAGTCTGGATAAATAGCATATTCGAACAACGCGATATGACAACTTGGCACAAATCGTTTATGTGCCAGACTATCTCGATGATGAATGAGTAGCTGACGAACTATTTCTTGGTAGTATAATTATTTTCTAAAGTTTCACTCACTGAATGCTTTCTCTCAATTCTTTTGTTTCAGTATTATAAAAGTACAGCCAATGCTAAGGATGGTTGCGCCTTCTTCCAGCATTATTGTCAATTGCTACCAGAACATATTAAATTGCGCCAAATTGTGATTAATCGCAAAAAACCTCGACCTATTTTTGTTCAACCTGGACTCCGTAAAACCCCTCACGGTGTTGAACTAATATCATATCCTACAACTTATGCCGGTGTAATACAATCATTCGTGGATCGTTATGGTGATTTGCCTCTTGGGCAGAAAGCTCTTGATGCGCTAGAAACAATTTGGCGCCGTGAACTTCCATATTTCAAAAACATACCACTTTAAGTGACTTGTCACAAATTGTTATTTTCAATTAATTTTGGTTAATATATTGTATGTTTATTGTCTCCACGTGGATAGATGAATATTATTTTCATTTATTTTTGCTTGGTTATAGTATTAGTGGTTGTGTGATGGTTTACTAGCTCTAAGTTATGGTAAATATGTTGTGTTATAATGTTCAAACCTCTCGATTTCAATTATTAAATCACAGGTTCAAAGTTGCTTTACGTACGTGGTATTACTAACCCATGCATAGGAACCGGCTTAAAGTTATGCTCCTGAACCTGTTCTCTTTAGTTAATAGAATAGCTCACAAATGACGTTTATAGTTTTCGAACTTTTCTTCGTAATGTAGATCTTCACCCCACTTCTGTTGACATTGCAGTAAAAGTTACAAGCCTGTTGTTTCAACTGAAATGAAAATCGTTAATTGAGGCTAGAGTGAAGCTCATGTTCAACAGTAAATTCTGTTCAGCTGAGTGATGTGCGATCTAAAACTCGCTTAGTAAGTACTTACGATTTTCTCAATAAAAGAACACTTTGATGCTTTCCTATTGCTAATAACGATAAAATATACTGACTGATCTTTGATGGGCAATTTCACCCGTAATTCTTTCAAGTGAAATTAGAAAGTGTTTGTTTAAGCCTCAATATACTGATTCTTCAAATTCGAAGCAATGTTATTTTCACCTGTTTCTAGTCTCATAGAAATACCTTGGTCACTTAGCTTGCGTGACTTCTGTTTTATTGTTACACTGTTGGGTTCCATTTAATATTAAACATCAGAGATGTTTTCTTTTTCATCGAATTATTGGTGTGAGTAGTAGATCCCGAAGTTAAGATTTGTGCTTTTATCAGATCTTCGTGGGGTTGCACATGGATAATTCCAAGTTACATATAAATTGTATTGTACCATGTCAAGGCCATATAGGTTATTCTAGCTTCCGAACAGACCAGTTTACTTACTTACGCCTTTTACCCCCCAATGGAGCATTGGCCACCAACCAGCTTTCTCCAACCCAATCTGTCCTGGGCCTTTCTTTCTAGCTCTATCCAATTATTGTTCATTCTTCTCATGTTTGTCTCCATTTCTCGGTGTAATGTGTTCTTTGATCTTCCTCTTCCCCTTTGGCCCTGATGATTCCAAGCGAGGGCTTGTCTTGTGACGCAGTTGGATGCTTTCCTCAATGTAGGTTCTATACACTCCCAGCGCTTCTTCCTGATTTCTTCCACTGGAATCTAGTTTGTCCTCTCCCACGGTAGGTTATTGCTAACAGTGTCTGGCCGACGGATTCTAACTATTTTGCACAGGCAACTGTTAATAAACACTTGTATCTTCTGGATGATGGCTTTCGTAGTTCTCCAGGTTTCCGCCACATACAGTAGAACTGTTTTGACATTTATATTGAAAATTCTGACCTTCGTGTTAGTTGAGAGTTGTTTTGAGTTCCAGATGTTCTTCAGTTGTAGATATGCTACTCTTGCTTTGCCGATCCACGACTTCACATCTACATCAGATCCATCGTGCTCATGAATGATCCTGCCCAGATATGTAAATGTTTTTACATCATGGAAAGCTTCTCCGTCAAGTGTGATTTGATTGATGCATGTTGCGTTGTATCGGAGAATCTTGCTTTTCCGTTTGTCACTTTTTTTGAGTGACATTTTGACCTTGTCAATTATTCGCTTATTAATCTTGATTTTTTATATGGACGTATGTGTGTGTATTGCTTATCCTACTTATCACATGTCTGTAGCTTATTTTTGTTTAACTATAAATATTGAGTCTCGTTTGTCAAAACGAGTTGGTTTATTGCTTTCTCTGTCTCATCGTTTTCCATTTTTCCAATGACAGTCTGCACTTCGCATCACTTTCCATATATATGTATGTACTCGAATCTTATTAATTGATTCGACTCCTAATTCGTTTCTATATTCGCTCTCTTGTGCGCGTCAGCTTTTCTGCTCGAATTCTCTCGGCGTGTTTATAGCTTATTGATCTGTACTTTTCAATAATAAACTGGTTGGCGCCTTGTGCTGCCTTCTAAATTTATACACCGTTGGGATTTATTCAACGATTATCAGGGTGCTTGATATACAAAACCTAAGGAATTAGTTCAATGCTAATCCACTGCAAAGTGTCTTTTTGCTAAAGGAAACTATAATGCTGGATAGGGTTTCTATCGACTCAAGATTGTGCGCATATCGTTTTGCCTTAGTTTCCTAACCATGCCAATTCTCAATTTTTGTTTCGATTACTACTTCTTGGTCGTGTAATTAAAGTTTTCGCTTAGATTTCCCGATACTTTATCTTCTATATTTACCACTGGTTGATCGACTTTCTACATTTTTTGGAAAATGTTCTATTACGTGAATTTTTCGTCCTGTTTCCATGCACATTACTCATACATTAATACACCGTAGCAATACATAATGATTTTCTGTTGGATTTAATAAATTTTCAAGCAGAGATTCAGCTTTCTGTAGGTCAACCGCGTCGAGTTAAGGGAGAAAAATTCTCATTCTTTGATTGTCTGCTTGGAATATTCAGGAGCGGGGTATTTTTCTGAAAGTTAGTGTCACGAACTAAATTAATCTAACAGGATTCTGTTTTCACAGAAGACATAAATCAAGTGATTTAGAAACCAAACGTTTTATATTAACACAATAAGTATTACAATAACTGTCATCTAAATGTCTAGGCTGATATATTGACAAAGGTGTTGATTTTTGTCACAGGAACTGGCCAGAAGAGCTAATTAGCTTTATGTTTATATAAGTACGTAGGTACATATAGTCGATTCTTTTGTACAGTAACAACCGGTGCTGGAGAGTCTTCATTTGATGATCCTCCATTGTTTTCTGAAATGAATTAAAATTAATCGTGAGAGTATAAATAAATCTAAGATTATATATACAACAGGATAGATTGATATGTGTTTCAAACCAGCTCGTAGTAATAATTTACTTCATGAACGGATGATGTTAACCTAAACTGTATATTACAATCACTCAATATTAGATTAAGGTGCATATCCGTCTCACAAGTGAGTGGCTATCTGGACTCAGCATCTAAAGAGATAATTTTTTGAGGGTTCGAAGCTAAAGATAATAGATTCCAGTACCAAAGTGAACATCAGCTCTTGGGTTTAAGTATATTTAGCTGATGAATTATAAGTAGGATGAAACACGCATCCTGGATCCCGTCGCTAGCCATATCCCATCTATTCTATGTGCACATTAATATGGGATTTTTTCCTAGTTATAGGCGTTCATGGTTTACGTGGTTTAAACTCTTAGTTTCAATCTTGCTCACTAGATAAACAAAACCATAGCTCACTGTCTACTTACCGAGCTGAGTGCAATCAAATAGTATAATTAGTAAATATATAGTATGGTCAGCTACTAGTTAACTAACGGCTGTTCATTCTTTCAATGGATAGACCAATAAGTAAAAATATTACTAATACCTATGATTAGAAAAATAACCAACCTCAGCTTCCCCATTTTAGTCATTGGCATAGAATCGTGTCAACAGTGGTTCTTTAAGTTTTCATTATTTTTATTTTTTTTGATCATAAGCGTAGTTTGTGGTCTTCAATTTGGTCAAGTACTCATTGATAATTTGGGTTTATCAATCATGCCAAGTGAGTATAGTTTGATTTGTTACATTTTCAAAATCATGAGTTCTATTAACCAAATGACTTTGAACAACTAATATAAAAAATAATGGGATACTTTGAAAAATTTCATCAGTTGAAACAATTCAGTTAACATTACTACCGGTCATAACTATCTAAACCAATTTGTGTAATAACCTCGAATTATGGTTTACTTAAGTTATCTTAACATTAGTTGGAACCACTCTTAAGAAGATTTCCATTTGTGTACAAAGCAAAATCATAATAGTATAGATGCAGAACTTACTTTCTGGAGCACAATTTACTTCATCGAAAGACATATATATGCAAAGACACAATAATATAGTAATCTGAAATGGAATTCGTCGTCAGTTGTGTGTACATAGTAGGACAAACTTTGAATATTTTCATTATCAGCGTAGAGTCCTCTTGCAATTCGCAAGTCACGAACATTTACCTCCATATATATTTGTTTATACAGGTGTTTACACTGAATCTATATAGGATTGTTTGAATGAATGGATCAATAAACTGTCGAATATCACTACAATAATTGATTATTGTTTAAAGTTATTTTGTTTACATTGAAGGAAAATAAATTTATCTGACAGTTCGGCTAATTAGATCATTCGAAATCCACAAAGTACTATGTACATTTATGATTGATAAATCAATTTGAGCCACAAATGTTCTTCACAATAAAAGTAATTGTTTTGTTTATTTATTTTATAATGCATAATGAACTGTTCAATAAACGAAAGGTTTTAACGTTAGCCGATAATTTGGTTTCCGGGACACGTACTCCTTTGTCGATTGTCGCCTTGTTAGTTATTCTCATAAATGACTTCCGTTCAGTATATATTTATTTTGCTTTTGAACACATGATAATTTCCGGCATTATTCCCTGTTACCCTTTGGAAAGCGGAAAGCTATCTAATTTGGTTATTAATAATGAAATGAGCTTACCCCATAAAAAAATAACAACGGTAAAAGGAGTAATTTGCATATATAGTCTGTCGAGAGTTAAGTGTGTGAGTGTCTATTCGTGCTTATTGTTTGATTGTCCGACATTTAAAGCCGAATAATGCATTGAGGATCACTATACTGGTTGAAATTTAGCTGATCAATAGCGTGTGTCATATATAAACAGACGGGTGGTTCAGTACTCAAAGTATTCGGTTTCTAATCAACCCAAAGATTAAGCTTCACACCATCTACTTTGGTTTTTTCAACCGATTTGCACCACTACCGCAATGTGGCTAAAAGCCAAGCACATAAACACGTACTTGATATGTGAGTTTCATTCGTTATCATAACTACATTCTTTGACATTTACATGTTTACCAACTATCATTTTTCAAATGATTTCACGTTTGGTAAATCTTCAATGTTTAACTTGAAGATTATTGTTAACCACATTGTTATGATCTTACTTTTCAACAAGTTCTAGACTTTCGGATTTTGGTTCTAGGAATACATATATTCGCAATCTTTTGCATTGATTTACTTATAGCACATAAATTGTGATAAAATATGGAACCGTAAAGTGACATGATAAAATTATGAAGAAAAATAATAGGGAAGATGGATGTAACTTATCAATAGATAAGCAAGAATGCTATTTTATAAGATGAAACACTAGCTCGGTTAAAAT